ATCATCGCAGACCATGTCTTTGTCCATGTCCACCATCTTGTAATAATGTCCCCAGCCCTCTCTCTCAGTAGAAAAGGTCTCCAAGGCATAGACATTGACGTCGTCGTCATTGCACGGAGTAAGTTCACGGGCCCACACGGGTGTTTGCGTCCATATCGTCTTCATCTCCGGTTTGTCACCATCAAGTGCATTCTTTGCTATTCTTGTTTTTTTTTCGGCGCCGGCTTATCGGCACCAGAAGCATTCGCTTCGGTTGGAGTTGTTGTCGCTCTTGTCGGCCAGTTCGATTTGCCGGATTTGCCGCTCCTCGACTTCCGTTCTGGCTTCTCTTCTTCTTCTTCTTCTTCTTCTTCTTTTTCTGCCATTGCCGCGCTGATGTGCCGTGCTGTGCCGTGCAAGCAGTGTCATGGTGGTGCGCTACATTGTGCCGCGCTATATTGTGTTCTTGTGGTTGCTGCCTTGATTTAGAGAGCAGTTTGTGCTTCAAGTTTCTGTACCAGCCATATTAATCTCGGCTTATCAAAACGGTACCATGATTCTGATCTGAGCCGTAAGCCCCAACAACACTGAGCAACACAACAAGTCTGGACACAACACTTCTGCTAAAAGATGGTCTGCGCTGCATTCTCACCCACGCTCTTTTAACAAAGGCAGCATCCTTGTTGCTAGCATCGGATCAAAATCCCTGCGGTAGCATCTCCTGATACATCTAGTACTTGCGCTTCTTGACCTAAGTTGCTCAGTTCATCGGCCACCACAATCAATACCCAAAGCTGCCTCAACCTCTATGCCAAGTCACCTGGCGGGGATCCAAAGTGGCGATAACCTCCTGGTACTCCTGGGAGTCCTTCCATGCCTTCTCCTTGTCTTTGTGCGGCATGTCGGTGTGCCTGAATATGACGAGTACCGAATGCGTTTCGGAAACAAGGTACCCATGCAATCCCATGCATGTCACATCCTGCCAAGATACTTATCCAGAAAGTTTTTCTTCGCAGTCATGTAGGTAACGCTGTCCGGGTGAGCAGTTGAAGCCACCTTGCCCTTTGTCTTCTTCTTTGTTGCTGCTGCAGCTTTCGTCTTGGCCTTTGCTTTGCCCTTTGCTTTCGCTTTCGGTGTGCTTTTTTTGGGCTTGCCTTTGTCTTCCTTGCTCAAGGCAAGTTTTGATGCTGCTAGGAGTCTTTGCGATGTCGGATTCAATGCTTGGTGTTTTCCCACGGCACACATGGACCTCGCCTCTGCTTCCAAGCTGGGTCCTAAAGCCTTCTCCGACTCCTTCTCGATCCATGGGTCCTGGTCAGACAGGGCAGACCAGTAAGAACCACAAACTGCAAACAAATCCGAAGCCGAGAAACAGGGACCTCCACCGTGCGGTTTCCACCGACGAAAGGTCGATCGCCGGCAGTTGGGTCCTGAACACCGCAGCACAACCAAGCAAGCAACCGCAAGCACCACACACACACACAAACCAACCGCGCAACACACACGCACAACCACGCAGAGCGAGTATTCTCATCGAGCTGCATCGGCGCCATCCTCATCAGCACCAAACCGCTCGTCGTCCTGCGCAAAAGTACGAATCGCCCAGTCTCCAAAGCACTGCAGCACTGCACGAGGACCGCTCCCGACCTTATGATCTCCCAGGACCCTGGTCGTCGCATCGGACGCAACATCATCAGCAGCCTGCTGAATGCTTGCCCTCATTCACAGCTCGTAACTAGCTTCAGGCCGTGCAAAGCCAGCCCGGCCTTGCCCTCGTCATTCTCGCGCCAATCGGCTGCCTGCGGGGTGCCAGCGAAGTTGGGCTGGTTCCCCTCTTGCTCACAGTTCAAAACTAGCCTCGTGCTCATCCTCGTTGCAAAACTCGGCTGTTTCAGCCGCCAAATCCGGATCCTGCGGGGTGCCAGCTAAGTCGGGCTTGTACAGCCCGCTCCCCCTCTCTCTCTCTCTATCTCTCTTTCTCTTCGCAGCTTGCAACCAGGCCTTGCTCCACGCCTCTTCCCCCTCCTCCTCGTCCTCCCAAAAATCGGCTGCTGCAGCCTAGCACGACATGTTCATTGCAATGCAGTTGGGACCTCCTTGAATTCGGTCTCCCCCTCTCTGCGATCCCTCTCTTCCCTCTCTCTATCTCTCTCTCTATCTCTACCTCGATCTCTACTTCTACCTCTCTCCTACACTGGATCTTTGTTGCTCGAAAGAGTCGTCGGCCTCCCATCCAGTGGCATTGCCATCTGCATCATCCTGCCGGCTTCACATAGACCCGTTTGCAATATGTATGTATGTCTGTCTGTATGTATGTATGTATGTATATGAATATCCACATACAGACACATACTCAAGTCTCAAGTAAAACCCAGCCTGGTGCTTCGTGTCAGTCCATTTGTCTTCCGCGTCCTGGCAGAAAAGCGAGTGATAAGCGCACACGAGTCGGTGGGTATACGACCTCGACCCCGATCCACGAAGAACCACACCAATCTTCGTCCTGCCAATGTCATTCTATAGCTTTGCTTCACACCAGTAAACTCAAACCCAACCTCATACTCGGTGCCACCCTTCTCGGACCAGCAATCCGGTGCTGCAGTGGGCTCCTGACGAGAAATGGTGTGTGTTGCAAAACGTTTGCTGGCTACAGACTGCATCGGCCTCCTCGGACCAGTACTCCGCTGCAGTGGTAGGCTCCTGACCACTAATGGGGTATTGAAAAGGCTCGCTGGCTGAACAATGCACCGGCCTCCTCGAACCAGTGCTCAGTGGCAGGCTCCTGCGCACGCACTCACAAATGGTGGGTTGTAAAACGCTCGTTGGCTAAGCAATGCATGGGTCTCCTCCTCGGGCCGGTGCTGAGCTACTGTGGCGGGCTCCTGTACACGCACTCCAAATGGGTGGGTTAACAAACGTTCGTTGGCCAAGCAATGTATCGGCCTCTTCCTCGGGCCAGTGCTCAGCTGCTGTGGGATCAGTGGGCTCCTGCACACGCAATGCAAGAAACAGCTGAAGCATGATTGGTGAATCCGGCCTCTTCAACCATGTCATCTTCACCCTTACATACATGTGCATAGTGTTACAAAGGGCTTCATGAAGCGAAACGACTCACTGAGGAGGAGGCCCACTCCTCTTCTCCACCCTCAACACTATCTTCATCCTTAGAATTTAGAATCATGTCGACATGTGGCACTGGAACTCAACACTGACTCTGAGGAAGTAACCGTAGCCTCATCTTCAGGCCACACGGGCGGCTTTGCATCATCAGCTTCATCCTGGAATTTTGTTTCTCTCTCTTTCTCTCCCTAGACTCTATATAAACCTTAAACCCCAAAACCCGAAACCTGGAACCCTAAACTGCTAAAGCCCCACAACCCTGAGCCTTAAAATCCGAAACCCTAACCCGCAGAATGCTAGAGCACGAAGGCAGCTTTACGCACAACATGTGTAAAGATTTGCACACGAAGAGGCACATGTACTGAATTTGAGTAAACACCCTATAGCCTCGCCGTCGTCTCCTTGATCTTGAGTTGGATCCCACTCCTGATCATCATTTTCTACGCATGTAAACTTCCTAGGCGGGCGCAACAATTGACGGCCTCTCCGTCCAGGTCATCTGTCACTTCCATCTTGACAGCCTTTATCAGCTGATTCAAGCACCATGAACATGCCACACATCAAAAATGATTGAAGCCAGTTCTCCCCCAGGCGTCGAAGTGGTGGCACTTCAACGGGAGCACCCCAATCCTGCACATGGCAGCATGAAGCATACACAGTCTTGAGATTAAGCTTTACCGACCTGAACTGGCATCTCCAGCTCATCCGCACCCCAAGCCTGCACATGGCAGCATCAAAGATACACACCGTTGAGATTAAGTTTTACCGACCTGAACTTGCGTCTCCAGCTCATCCGGATTCAAGGCCATGGCACGGTTCGCGCGCTCCCAACTGTTCTTAACAGATCTTCGGATAAGCTTATGCAATACTTTGGACTGGTCCGTCACCCACGAATTGATGTCGAAATTACCAGCCAGCGGAGGCACAACGCCGTGCTTTGTCACCAATAGTCGCACAGCTAGTGTCAACGTGCCCAACGTGTAGAACCGACGTGCGCAAAACTTGCTTGTCCAACTCAGAAACCGCCGAACCTTCTTAAACCTCAAGGATCTTGCGGGAGCTAGGTTTCCTGAGGCCTCGAGAAGAGCAAGATCTACGCTCCTGTACAACTCGCGGGCCACCAAGATGGCCTTTGCAGCCTTGCGAGTAGGTAAGTTCATGGGCCGCACAGCTGCTTTCGGACGCAGCGAATGGACAATGACAGCACTGATCGACAAGCTGGAACTGCAAAATTGCAGAGTGGAAGAGAAAGAGAGCAGAAGAAATGAGATATATGTATATATGTATATAGATATATACATATATATATATATACATATATTTATTTACATATATATTCATTATATATATATGTATACACATAGATGCGTGATTGCGTCATTTTTTGCAGGTGCATGCACCTGCAAAAATTACGCAATCACGTTTTTTTTGCCGTTCAGCTTCGCAATCATTTCACGGCAAGAGTCAAACACATTTCATGCTCAGACTCCAGAACACTTTGTGTTCCCATATAGAGCCGGATAACAACATAGAGCCGGATAGCCACTTAAATACGTTTAGCACGTGCTGGTAAGACTCCCGGTTCCGTCGGGGAGTCGCCTGATCCATGGAAGCTGAGCACGGTGCGTATATCACATGTTCAATACAAGGACAAAAGCCCGGTTACGATCTATGAGACCGGGTATGCCTTCGGCAAAACAAGACTCATGCAGCTCTGGACCGGCACTGTCGAATTTTATGATGACGGCTATGCCCCACCCAAGAAGAAGTTACCTCCTTACCACGGGTCGGAGATCCTGGAAGGCGAGGGGGGTTTGCCTTATCGTCAGAGTGTGCCGCGTTCCGAGCGGGCATATAAAGGGTCTCGAAAACCGAACTCTATCGATTCAGAATCCTGGCGCAGTATGAACCGCGCCGAACGGGAGGGATATGTAGAGGCTGAGCGCCGAGAAGCTGAGTCTCATGCCATGTCCCGAGAGGATTCTCGCGATGCTGCTCCTGTCGACATCGCTTACGATTCTGAATATGAGTCGGGTGCCGAACGGCATGACAAGGATTACTGGTATCACGATGTCGCAGCTGGCACGATCACCCGATTTCATGTGGTCGAACGCCGAGCGCGCTTCAACCCTACCTCCGTCAAAGATTGTCCCGTTGACCCTGCAACATTGACCGATGTCAGGATGACTATGGCCATGACTGACGGTACCGAGTTCACATTGCAGGACTCATGGAGATCATCCGACGCTCGGTCTCTGCCGTGTCGATGGACGGGAAAGACGGTCTTCGTTATCGGTTCTTCCGCCAAACCGCAGATTAAAGTTCGAACCCGTATGCCGAACGCCGATGACACGGGGCGCCGCGTGCAGACTGCGAATGGCTATTATGGACACGCATTGCGTGCAAAGGGCCGTACTATCGTACCTGCCAAATCTCGCGCCTGTGTCGTTACGGATCTTGAGTTTGAGCCCCCGGGTGGTATGTCTGCCCGTCTTCAGCCGCTTCGCGGCAGTGGCCTCGATGTTTGCCCGGCCATGTACACATACAATGAAGGGGCAACTCAGTCCGGTGTTGACGTCCTTAATCCTACCGACTACGATATTATAGTCGAGCCCGGACAAGACGTTGCTGTGGTTCAGTTTTACACTTCCGTTCTGGCAGCGGTTGAACTCGACTTCACCGCAGAAGACGTGGCATGTGATGTTTCTGCACCGGTTGAACCATCCGAAGACGGCCACGCTGTTGATACAGCACCGGCAATGCCTGTTCGCCCTGATCCTCACTCACACCGATCTCCCGATTCATCGGTCTTCTTCTACAGTGCGTGTGTTGCACGGCCCGTTGACCGAAAAGAGCGTGCCGCTAATCCCAAGGCGAAAGCCGCCCTTGACAAGGAGTGGAATAAGCTCATCAACCAAGGATGTTGGGATTACGCATCCGTGCGTGAGTGGCGCGATGTGTCTAACGAGGCTATGGCGAAAGGGGAAACGGCCCACGTTGGCCGTATCTTCGATATATGCGTTGAGAAGAATTCCGAGCTTCCGGAGTCCGACCCTAATCGCAAATTTAAGGGTCGAGTGGTGTTCGAAGGATGTCATGTCAAAGACGAGGGCAATAATTGGGCTATTTTCTCCGAGATCACTTCTTGCCCCGCGACCATGGAAGCTGGAAAGGCCGCCGATGCTTTCGGCCTTCTTCCTGGTCACGAAATACAGGTTGCCGATGGAGAATCTGCCTATACCCAGGCTAAGCTTGGTGGCCCGGCCACATGGGTCCGCTTGCCCAAGGATCGTTGGTTGCCCGAGTGGCATGGCAAATATCACGATCCGGTCGTACGCCTAGTGTTGGCTCTTTATGGGCATCCGGATGCCGGTGGTTTCTGGGAACAGCACTGTGAGAAGGCTCTTCGTTCGGTTGGGTTCGAGCAATGTCCCGACTGGAAAAGTGTGTTTCGTCATCCCAAACTTAATCTTATGCTCGTGGTCTACGTCGATGATTTTAAGCTCAGTGGACCAAAGGCCAATCTGGCAAAAGGGTGGGAGCTCATGGCATCGAAGATTAAATTGGAGCCGCCCTCGAGCATCAAACGTTACTTGGGATGCGAGCATGTTACTTTCTCCCACGTTGTCCCTAGTGCCTTTGATCCGCGCTCCTATTGGACGCGCTTCGAGGAACCTAAAAAGGCGTTTCCCGAGTGTCGCGCAGGGCTCTGTTGGTCCTCGAGAAATTCGCATGATCAAATACGATATGCGATCGTTCATGGAACAATGTGTTTCTCGCTATGTTGAGCTCTGTGGCCCTAAGTATAAGGCCACCTTGCGGTCGGCTGATACGCCCTTCCTCGATGAATCACGACCGGAGTTCGATACCAATCCGGATCGACCTGCTGTGAACCGCTTATTGGGCCATCCCGCTGACACGCCTGTGCCTCCTGGTAAGGGCGTTCTCGGCGACTGTGCAGCCGCCGTTCTGATGAAAATTCTATATGGTGCTCGCATGGGGCGGTACGATTTAATCCGTCCTGTGCAGGCACTTGCCAGTCTCATCACCAAGTGGGATGGCTTGTGTGATAAGAAACTCCATCGACTGGTGTGCTATATCAACTCTACCCTCGATCTCAACTTGTATGGGTGGATTGGTGATGCACCCGAGATGCTGGAGCTTGTGCTCTACTGCGATGCCGATCTTGCGGGTGACCGCACTGATTCCAAGAGCACCTCTGGTGTCTTTATGTGTCTTCTTGGGCCGCGTAGCTTTATGCCTCTTAATGCTTTGTCCAAGAAGCAAACTTCTGTGTCGAAGTCTACCCCCGAGGCCGAAATTGTCTCTCTTGACCACGCTGTGTATAAATTAGGCCTGCCTGCTCTATCTATGTGGGAGTATATGTTGGGCCGCCGTTTCCGTTGCGGGTCATGGAGGACAATGAGGCCGCTATTCGTGTCGTTATCACTGGTCACAATCCGAACATGCGTCACATGTCTCGTACCCAGCGCATCGATATCTCTGCGTTGAACGAGCGTTATCACGCTGGGGATTTTCTGTTCGTAACGTGTCCCTCTCAATTCGAGGCTGGTGATATTCTGACCAAGGCCTGCACTGATGCTAAGGTGTGGGGCCGCAACCTTATGTCTATTGGTCACTTTCGTAAGGGTACTCTTATTTCCTCCGGTATGCTGTCTGCCGCTCCCGCTCTCCCTGCTCTCCCCTCTGTCTGTCCAACCAGGGGGGTACATCTTGAAACCGGACACAGCCCCTTCAACGATTTCATCCTCGACATGTCTCGTCAGGGGGTGTTTCAATCGATGATGCTCACCAATTCGGAGCAGCAGTAAAATGTATTCATATCGGAGGCGAAGGCATAATCCGATTCCCTCATGCTCGAAGTATCAATCTCAGTCTCGATGATAACGCAAAAGGGATTGCTATTTCGAACATCAGGGTCCCGCCTACGCCTGCGGTATGTATTGTCACTGTTCCGATTGCTGGCACCGCTGACAAAAGAGAAGCTGGTTTCAAGAACAGGGGTTGGAAAGAGATGAGGGGCGATCTAAAGGAAAAAGGGTGGGAAGCCAAGAAATTACTCGGGTATGCTTCCGCTGCCCGCTCATCCGGAATCCCTGTGTTTCTTGTGCTGCCGAAGGGAAACCCGTTGTGGGGTAGGGAGTATATACGACGATGGTCTGAGTCGCACGAGCTGTGCCCTGTTAAACTGTGCTCGTGCTCCTCTGGTCGATGTTCCCAGCATGCATGGATGTGTGAGATTTTCATGCCTGCCCGTTTTGGGCCCATCTTCATGTCACGATTTGCATGCAATCATAAGAAGGTCAAAAGGGCCGACCCGAAGGAGCTTCGACTTGCATTGTGGACTGTGCTTGAACACTTCATAATTCTGCAATCTTTGGCTCACAGCAATCCGCGTAGCCGATTGCTTAAACAAAGACGCCAAGGCCATGTTCACACACACACACACACACACTTGCACACTTACACTTGACACAACTTGGTAAGGAGCTCTAGGGACGACGATCATAGATCACCTTCATCAACCGACCATCACAGACCACCTCTACTACGACCCAGTCTATAGCCCACTTGCGCTCCCTGCTAGGACAGGTTGTAGCTGCCACGGGCTGCGAACTTCCCCGCGCTGCTGCCGCTGCTGATCGATGGGAGGAAAGAACAAGCAGCCACCGAAGAAGGCTGCTGCCAAGACACCGGCTGCCCGATCACCCCAGCCGAAGTCTCCCTCGCTACGCAGGGAAGGCCTTCCGAGCGGTGCGGTCGCACCGACTACGGAAAGGCCTCCTGTTCCGCCGATTCCCACGGAGCAGGATGATTCCAACATGGGTACCGATGAAGCCCCTGTCCCGATTCAGACCCCGAGAGATGAGTCCACAGGGGGTGGAAAGCGCTCCGAGGACATTCCGATAGGATTGAGGATGAAGATGATGATGCTGAAGATTGGGATTCAAGAGATCCCACAGGCCTCAATCTGGCAACGCCTCGAGCAGCTGACATGCAACTCTGGGTACGATCTCAAGCTGCACCAGCTGGTTGACTCCTTCCTTCTCACTACTCATCCGCTTGCGGATAAGCAGAGGAAGCAGTACCCCCAAGAGTTTATGGATTTCATCGACCGATACAGGGTGATGTGCGCTCTTGCATTTTCCCGAGTGGCGACGTTGTCTGGTGACGCCGCGGGGGTCCGCGAGAAAATGGACCTTACGATGGCGCTGGCTCGCCACTGTATGCTTTTCCAAGCGCAAAGCTTTAAGGGATCCCGAGATATGCTGAGCAACGATACGCTCCAGCTCATGGGAACCTGCTACATCCCGTCGCCTCTTGCGAGCTGGAACCGAAATCTCATGGGATATAGCAGTTCGTCTGCTGAACAGCGATGGTTGAGGACCGATACGAGTATCAAACACAACGACCTCACCAAGCTGTCGCCCATGGAGTTGTCAAGGGAGGCGGTCAGCCAGGCTGAAGCTGTGAAGTTCTTCAAGGGATTTCTGCAGCTCAGGCCGACGCTGTCGTTCATCCCTGGAGCGTTTCTGGCGCTCAAGGCTCTTAACCGATTTCCCACGCTGGACTCTTTGAAAGAGCAAGCAACTCACCTCGATAACGATCGCAAGGAACACGGCTACGATCTTCCTGCCGTGGACGCGAACGGGATCGGGGAAGCAGCCGCCTTTCGCAACGAAGACGACGATGAGAATACCCCGTTGATGCGCGGGTGGGTCTCGTTCATGAAAGCGATGGTTGAGGCCTACCCCGGCCGGTGCGTTAGCATCGATGATACGCTCAACTGGGGAGCCAGCACCCCTATGACCTATGAGGACGGTGCGGGGCAGACTACCATCCGCCCGACTGATGGATGGGTGTATGTCCCCGCGATGAATTCGGACATATACGATCCTCAGGAAACGTTCCTTCACGGAACGAACCTCCGATACCTCTGGTCGATTCTTGCACACGGAGGTCTGTTCGGGGAGGATTACGTGACGGACGATCATGGAAGTCACGAACCCTGTGTCTGGGTGACTGGACACGCTTCCGAGGCTGCCAGTAGCTACGCGTCTGGCACATACCTCGGAGGAGGATACTGGTTTCAAGTGATGATCTGCGTCTCCCGGACTGTGGTGAACACCCACGGTCGCACGACGAAGAAGCTGGGAGGATCCCAGAAACAGATCCGCGTCGGAACTCGATTCCTCGAGCTGTGCGGGATCGCGTTCAGGCCCTTCCGCCTTCTGGATGACCGCGAGCAAGGGGTTTCTACCTCTCCACAATACGTCATCCATGGTCACCGATTCCTTAGTGCCGACGGGACAAAAGCTGTGGCCTGGCACCCATGGATGGAAGCGAGCCCGATTGATCCTCGCATTCTGAAGCTGCTGGGAGAAAGCGTCGCTCGCGACAGTGTTGAGTTTGCCGACCTCACGATTCAATGGGGCAACACTACTCAACAGGTTGCTTCCACCGAGACGGAACAATCTAGAGCGACCGCGGCTGACGATCAGGCTGCGGAGGGTGGAAATGAGGAGACGGATCGAGTCACAGTCCACCCAGCAGTGCTTCGCCGCAACCACTGGATGCCTGACTCTCACGGGACCAGTGAACACGCCACTGTCGGTGGCAGGTATGCCTTGCTATCCGAACTTCAATCCTCCAGCTACTGATTCGAGCTTGCTCCATTCTTTCAGCTTCGAGCACCCATCATGGGAGAGGATGGAAGCCAAGGTTTGCCAAAGCCTGCAAGGCTCGAGACGATTGTCGGAGGACCCTCCAAGGAGTGGGAGGCATGGTGCAGACACTACCGAAAGGCATACGGTGTCATGCTCGGGAACTTCGGCTACACGCCCGCCAAGAGCCTCAAGAATATCCCGTACAGCGAAGAAGGAACAACGGATATTGTTAGTGCGCCGATTTGGAGCCCGGCCGATGCACTTGTGGCCGTATCGATCCATGGGGTCAGAACGGTCACGACCATGGCCTCCACGATTGCATTTGGGGGTGCACCGCCAACGATCAAGCCGGCGGTACCCAGCAAACCGCAGAGATTCATTGTTATGCACGATGGCCTGCTGTCCTTCAAGTCTGCCAAATCTTGGCATGATGGTGAGATGAACGCCCATCTGAAGAACGCGCTGACGAATTTTGGGTTTCCTGATTCCGAGGTGCGCGTGCAGGCGTTCGACGAGGACAACAAACTCAAGGATATGGTCGACACTCTCGCGATGATGCAGAGCGAGACCTCCATCCCGCCATCGAATGTGCACGTCCTCATCCTTTGGAGAGGAGAGGATCTGTGGAAGATAGACCAGGACTAGAACAAGCTAACTGGCGATATCGATATGGCACGATCTCAATATGCCAAGACGACCGCCCGGGATGCTCTCGAGAAATACAATACGATCTACGGATCGGTGTCCCTTTGCGGTCCGGTGTCGCCGAGCATGGTGTACCTTCCGACTCTCCCTGGCCCTCTCTTCCAGAAATACAGAGAGGAGATGAGATCGATCTGGGACGCGATCAGGAGATCCAACCTCCTTACCCTGTCTTTTGACGCTATCCTGGAAGGTCTGCCATACCTGAAGGGATATCATATTATGCATGAGTCCAAGACGATTGGGGTCCTATGTACCCGCATTTGCTCGATGTTCACTCTTGCTGCTCTCGCACGATTTCCGTCTTACGGGACCCGCCGAGAGTATGAGATCGCTGCCGAGAAGATGTGGGCACGCACCCCAGTCCCGGAAGAGAACTCGCCGGGCGCGGTGAAGGCCATTGTGCACTCCACTGTGCAGGACCTCATCGATGGTGCAGATCGCGGCGCCGATCATCAAGCCGCAGAGACTGTCGACATGTCTCAGCTAGGTTTCGATGATGACGATGATGACGATATGCCTGACGACGTAGGTCCGACCGCTCCCGGGAATCCGATCAAACAGGAACAGGGAACATTGGCGGATCTACCGGGTGTTCGTCATCCGGATCCGATCGCGCTGCCAGCTACTCCCGTGCCTGGCGAGGCAGTGCCAGTGTCACCTGGCCTTGCTCCGACTGCCATGAATGATGAAGAATCTGGCAGCAGTTCCGATGAGAACGATCAGCAAGGGGATGGTGACGCGGCAATGCCCACAGTCAAAAAGGAGGAGTCCGATGAAGAGTTCAATGGGCTTCTCGAAGGAATGACTGAGGAATTCGCGAAAATGCCCGCTCCTCGAGATGCCGAGCGAACTGTCGCTGCCAATCGGGACGCTGCACGACCGCCTGCCGTGCCTTCGATTCCTCTCTCTACGATGAAGAAGCCGAAGCCGGTTGGTGGCGAGGAAGCCGCGGGGCCCACCGCCGAAAATCGACAAGCTTATGCGCACTTCGAGAGCCAAGTCAGTGAAGCTGAAGCTCGCCGCGAGCAAGCTGCGGCAATGAAAGCGCATATCGCTGAAGTGGCAAAGGGCGCCGCCGGTGTTGAAAATGCCGAACATCTTCGATCCATTGCCGATGGGCTAGCCAAGGTCTTGGACCCGAACATGAGCGACGACAACGTGTTTCAGGGTGCCTTGTATCCACCGGGTGACTATGCGCTTGACGCTGTCACGAATCGACTGGCTCAAGGCAGACGTCGGGTTGAATCGAACAGCAATCTCATCAGGGAGATGGCCAGCGACCGATTCACGCCTGTGCTCATCAACCGAGACACTGGTGAGACTGTGTCTGCCATCGATGCACGATGGACTCCAGAGTATGGAAACAGGGGGGAGCTTGAAGCTAAGGTTGGTGCGATCATTTCCAACCTGGATGCAGTGGTTGCAAGCATGTCAACCCTCCCTGTGTTCCATCCGCACATTCCGTCGACGTATGGTATGGCTCGATCGCTTCTCAACACATACCAGTCGTTGCAGATTGCCATCCGACACCGTGGCATGGGTGCGATGTCCTTTGAGCAGATGGTATTCAAACCAGAGGACCTTGAGGTTCCGACCCCCGATGATTGGCCGGACCTCATCGCGCCTACTCCTGGAAAAGTCATTCAATCCATGCGGGTGGCCCTGGTGAACAACACGGCGGCAAGGTTGACGAGAGAGGACCTCAAGCTGCCACCAGGCTTCGCCATGCAACGACGAGTGACTGAGTTCCGTAAGCCGGAGGAAGATCCAATGCAGAGCCTGATGGGGCTCACCGATGACTTGAGCTACGGCACTACTGGTCGATCTGGGGATGACAGATTGTCCCAGTTCCAGCGTAGTATGGCAGTACAGCTGCGGAACACTGCTGGATTCCTTGCGAGTGAGTTCCAGAAGCATGCCCGATCTATTGCCGCTTCTTCATCGCGTCGCAGTGATGCTTCAGGTGCCCTGAGTAGCCAGGGTGATGGCGCGGCGGACAACGATCTTCCGTCCACTGAACAGGTTAGTGTTGCATCTGAGCGTGCGTTTGCGCCGCCTCCGCCAAACGTGGCTCCTCCTCCTCCGCCTACTGCGGCAGCACCTCCGAGGGCGTCCCAAGAGAGTGCAAAGGAGGATGACGATGATACCAAAATGGATGATGACACGGCCGGTCAGAAACCCGAGCAGAAACCCGAGGAGGACGCAGATATGGGTAGCGGGAAGGAGCTGCAAGACGAGGTCCCCGGCAAGGCCCCGCCGCCAGCTGCCCGAACCGCTGAGAGGCCTCCGGAACACGGCCTGCGTTCCAGTCCTCCGAATGACATGGTTGCCCAGGGAGCCGCGCTCTCCGGTGCTCGAGGACCGGAAGTCGATATTGATCCGGCCAGCACCACAGCCGATCAGGCGGCAAATGATCCGAGAAACTGCCGGATCGAGGGCCCTGGTATCAAGGCGACAACGATTCATCGCCCTGATCAGCTGCCCGAAAGGGGTATTGACTCCATTGCGCCGATCGTGCAGTACGAAATGACGTCTGTCCCGATTGCACTGCCAGATTTCGTCGTTCCGGGACTCGACATGGGCATCGATGACTCCGTCCATGGTCGATTGGTCTCTGCGACCTGTCTCCCACCGACTGACGAGCAGCGCAAGTATTCAAGACGCCGATTTGCTATGCTGTCCTCGAATCAGACAGTGTACTTGGGTATGGCGCTTCACAAGAAACCGCTTAAAGGAGAACACGATTCTTTCCTCCGACCGGAATCTTATGAGGACTGCCGCGAGATCCATGAAGCTGTCCGAGCCTACAATGCCAAGGAGGCGACATACCGATCCATCGGCGGAACATCAGTGTCATGCAGCCGATTGCTCATCGATGACGCACAAAATATCCCTGCCGCCAGGATTCCGGACGCAGGCATGATCAGTTTGGTGCGTAAGCTGCTGTTCCGAGTGCTGACGCAAACAAAGGAGCGTCCATCCTCGACTGCCGTCGGAGCACAGAATCGCCCCCAGGACAAAGAGAGGGGCGTCCCATTGTATTCATTCCTCGACCAGAGTGGCATCATCGCTTTCGATGTCATTCCGATGTACATGGAACGCGAGAGGGAATACATGAAGGCCAACGCTGGCGAGTTCAGTGGCCGGACGCTTCTCCAGACTAGCATTCTGGACGATGACGATAAGCCGAGTGAGCTCACCGTCCGGTGCATTTCGGAAATTGCTCGAACGGACAACAACCGAATGTTTGAGTTCTTCTACTCGACGATCAACGACGATGGAAGTCCTCAATTTGTTGGCGTCCGAGCAACCTATGGTTTCGGTCCCGATAACTTCAACCGATTCCGATTGCTGATCAAGTGTCAGCACGGGCCATTCACTCAGCTCGCTCAAGAACATTACGTCAATGGCGAGAGGAGACGAAATGTGGCCCGATATCATCCCCAGTACGGATGGGGATGCGCAACGATTCGCGAGTTCTTCGGATACATGAACGATTGCAAGCTCAACCCCCCAAAGGGGCAGCTCTTCCTCACACTGCTCCCGTATGCCCCTGGATCTGGGAAGAACAACGAGTGGGAAGAGGTGTACATGAACGTCCGAATGAACCCGGGACGTGAGACGCTCTCGAACACCGCGTCATCACAAAGCATGCTCCCCGAAGGTATGGGATCCAACCGCATGATTGTGTTCGCGATTGATTTGCACATGATTGCAGCAGGTATCAATCCGATTGCATTCCATCCGAGAGGGTACTATGCGATCAAGGACAGTATCCCTCTCGCATGTATGCCGATTGCATACTTCATGGATACGGGATCTCTAGTGTTCAACACGGCCTTCAAATACATCGGAGGCCCGAAGTTTGGCACTGGACCCAAGAGGGGAGACCACAGACGAGAAACGTGGCCACTCGCTAGCTTCGACTGCCCCATGTGCGGAGCTTCATTCCCTGTTGGTCTCCACATGTGTCACTCTTGCACTAAGCCGATTCACTATCCTGATGGGATGTTCTACGCCGATCCTGTGAACCCCTTCCAGGTCGAATATTACGGAAGTCATGCTGAGTGGCTCAATGATCTGATCGAGCGTAACAAGCTTACCGAATTCCAGCTTCACGAGTTTCCTGCGATCAAGCAGCTGAGGAATTTCCCGGTGTCTAGGTCTCTCGCTGAGGACCATAGGCAGACCGCATTCTTCGGAGTGCCACCGATCAAATGCACCGCTGCTGACACATCGCCGAAGGAAGTGGAACTGTTCAAGAGAAGCGTGCGCGGTACGATTCAGGGCGCCATTCGCTTGGACATTTCCATTGAGAGGCTTGTTGCCGGTATCACTGGCAAGGAAGCTCAATGTGGAGTAGAAGACTTCTTCAACTCACAGTCGATCGCATGTGCTGCCACGATAGTCAAGCACTTTGGAGCGGTCTTCGCCACATGTCGCGAAAAGCCGTTGTGCTACTTTGCACGTTGGTCGATTCACTGCCAGCGCGCATATCGAGTCTGCCTGTCGCGAGGGTATCTATCCCCCTATTACACAGGTGTGACGGTCGATTATACCGTCGACCAAGAGATGGCAGAAAAGATCCGACTTGCTCATCTGCCCTTGCAAAACGCCAATCTGGCGATGAGGCGGCACATTCGACTCTCCACCGAGTTTGGAACGTTGGATGAATTCCGTGCCACTATCACGGATACGCAAAAGTATCAACGATATATGCGTGTCGACAGTGAGAGCCTTTCCGCGCTCCTGGCCAAGGTTACCCTTACCACATGCTACGGCATTCCGACAAAAGGTGAGCCTGGCTATATCTGTGACGATGAAGCAGAAGAGATCGAAGGAGCCGCAGCGGCAAGCGAGAAGCCCAAAGGGAAAGGCAAAGGGGAAGACGAATCCAACGTCCAAGCCATCAACTGGCGTGAGTTGGATCCCTTAGGACG